TTGTTATCATTTTACATAGAGATGTGTAAATGACAATCTCATTAAAAACAATGTCATTTCCCTGCCACTCCACTAGTAGGCAGTATGTTGTTTCAAATTTTAAAACATGTACACATGTACAAACTCTCCCTGCTACGAAGACGATTAGGGCAGCTGGAAAAAAAAACAAGTTCGTTTTAAATATTATTTTAGTTTAATATGGGAAAAATGTCAAAATTCTGACTATAATCTCAGAATTCTGACTTTAATCTCAGAATTCTGACTTTTTTTCTCAGAATTCTGACTTTAATCTCAGAATTCTGACTTTTGTTTCTCAGAATTCTGACTTTTTTTCTCAGAATTCTGACTTTAATCTCTGAATTCTGACTTTTTTTCTCAGAATTTTGGATCTTAATGTAGATGGGCACTATGAAGCAAGAGACGAGGGAGCAATCAGCTTCACTGACAAAGGTGTGAGTTGTTTGACAGGGCCAGTAACACATAGGTGGAAAATGATGGAATTAGGCAACTTTTTACGTGACGAGGGGTCCCTGGTGATGCTATTTCATTAATGGAAGAGCAGAAGGTGATTAAAGCAAGAGAGCTAGTTTAGTCTCTAAAACAGACATACGGCTTGATGCTAACATGTTTGTTAGCTGTCAGAATTCATTTAGAATTCTGAGATTAAAGTCAGAATTCTGAGATTAAAGTTAGAATTGTGACTAAAAATTCAGAATTGTGAGGAAAAAGTCAGAATTCTGAAATTAAAGTTAGAATTGTGAGGAAAAATAGTCAGAATTATGAGATTAAAGGCAGAACTCTGAGATTAAAGGCAGGACTATGAGATTAAAGTCAGAATTCTCAAATTTAAGGCAGAATTCTGAGATTAAAGTCAGAATTCTGAGATTAAAGTCAGTTTTCATATTATACTAAAATAAAATTTAAAAATCAGTAAACATTTTTTTTTTCAGTACTCTTCCATACCCTGCATTAAAGGAACAACCTCAATGATTCCCAGGGCTTTGCTGAAAAGCAAGACCTACAGTATGATTTCCCTCTTCTTAGGACAACAGAGATCAGCATGCCTTCAAAAACGTTATAGACTAAAAGCCATTTTCAAATTGTGACATTTTTTAGAACAGGCACACCATTGTTGTTTGGACACAAATGTTAGCCATTTCAAACAAGCACATGGAGGTTTCTAAGGTAGACTAAATAGCACATCTATGGTTATAAGGGTTTTAGATTATAGCTTTTTCTGAACAGAATTTATTGGTGGAATAGATTTTTATTAGAACTGGAATATTATTTTAAGATTCATTAAGAAATACATTATGTATTTTTCTTTTTAACAAGCAAGAGCAGTATTTTCAAGCTGACATCCATTTAGAAAAATTGTTGGAATTCAAAACAAATATTCAAGTGTGTTAAATGTATTTACACTTATTTGTGCCTTTAAATTCTAATTAAAATCTACCTAAATAAAATATTTACAAACTTCCTCTTTTTTAGTCAGAGTATCTATCCGTTTTTCAGTAGATTACACAATGATTTATTTCCGCATGACAGCCTCTTTTTTTCATGCATTTTATTCACATAATATTTTGGAATAAATTCAGATGTGAAATATTGTTCACTTTCCTTTGGTTGTTGTATATTTAGTCCACACAGTGATAAAAATGAATAGAGGAAGCCTTTTTTGGGGGGGGAATCATGGGATGGGCTGCATGAAATAAAACCTGTCTGTGAGTTAGAGGTGTGGGTCTGTGTGATGGCTCAGGAAAATAGAGAGCAGACACACATTAAATGCTGCAGATCCATCAGATCCAGCAGAATAAAAAAACCAAAAAGAGTCCTATAATTACAATCATATAGTCGGCCTATGTGGATGTTGGGGCTCTGGGCGCCATACCGCACCATTAGTATCACAAATAAGTAATAATTTGCTAATGACAACATTATGTTGAGTCAGTTTAGGGCCAATTAAAGTGAGTGATATTTACATATGCCTAATGAATCACGGAGCGTGGCAGTTCGGGCGGCCTCTAATGAATATTCATCCAGGCATTTCTCCCCTGCGCGCAGCAGTTTATAAACTGAATTATGGCTGATTTGCCCTTTTAAAAAATGAACATGGGCGCATCACCCATAAGGAGGTGGTGAACAATAACGCCTGATTGTAAAAAAAAAAAAAAAAAAAAAAAAAAATGTTTTACTGCGATAGTGGCAGCGCGGCTGAAGAGTCTGGGTGGGGCCCACCTTTAGGGGCCCAAGGGTAATATTTACAGTGTGCGTTCAGGGTGGCCCCTCATGATAGATCCGCTCTGGATGTGTAGATAATTGATTTGTTCTGACCGGTAGAGCAACTTTAAAACGGAGCTACAGCCCTCCTCCTCCTCCTCCTCCTCCTCCTCCTCCACCGGTGATTTCTCCGGTAATTGCCCCCTCTGCGTGTCGGGGAGCGGCTGTTGACCTCTCAGGTGCGGGATCAGCAGGCGGCATCAGTTTGCATTCACAGAACGGGGCTCCACGTTTATCATGCAAATAATCAGCTCTCCTTCCTTCCAGCAGGTGTGAGGCGCTCATCCTCTGACTCTGCGGCTGCAGCATCTTTAAACAGGACCGCGCTCATTATCAAATCACTGGTGATAAACAGGAGGCTCTGCAGATTAATGCAGCTGTAAGTCTTAAAAAATAAACGTCTATCCATTTAATCACACAGCTGCATCTCAGTAAATTAAAATATTTTCTAAAACTTCATTTATGTCAGTTACCCAAACGCAAACTGTTCGTTAAGTAGGCCTACACAGAAAACAATAAGTGGTCAAAAAAACAAAAACAAAACAGCTCTCTATGTCTGTGAAGATTCTCAGTCATTAGAAATTCATATACTGTACTTGTAACAAATAATTAATATTATGTAATGTTGTTTTCCAAAGAATCTGCGTGCTTCGCAGAGCCTTTATCTACGCATATTGGTGGAGAGTTGAGTGGAAGGAAAACATGTGAAAACATTTTAAGGATATATATTTTGGGTGTTTATAAATGCGAATATTTGTACTCACAATAGAAGAAAAAAAAACACTTTTGGATTTATTTATTGAAGTAGTTACATTTCATTATGATATTTTAGTTTAAAAATCCTTAAATGTAAAAACATCCAAATAAAGATATGTTCAAATGTAAAAACAAATCATTTCCTTAGATCAAATAAAAACAACTATTGTTTAAATACAGAAACATCTTGGCACAGTATGCTTTGGCTTATATGAAAACTAGGAAGACTGCTGATTTAGTTTCTCAGCACACAGTCATGAGTTGAACATGTAACTAATGGACTCTTTTGCAGTGGTGGTTCTAGAGCAGATTAACCAGGGTGGGGCAAGAGTTTTTTTTTATTTTTATGGAGGCCCATAGCATCACACACACACACAGGTATACTCGTTCTGCTATATGTGGTGAGGACCATGCGTTGACTCCAATTGACTTCCATTTTCAACCGTTTCTATGCCCATAAATCTAACCCTAACTCTAACAATTACCAATGCATACCTCACCCTAACCCTAACCCAGTTGACACCTTAGCCCTAAACCTAACCTCTAGCAAAATAGCTTTTGAGGATCAGCAAAATGTCCTCACTCTGCAAAGACTGGTCTTCAATCTGATGGTGAAATTTGGAAAATGGTCCTCACTCTGAGGGCCAGACAGCTACACACACACACATACACCCAGCTGTGTTTCCATGACATATGGGGACATTTAATTGACTTCTATTCGTTTTATATGGCCTAACCCAGACCCTTACTCTAACCCTAACTGTTAACAACATATACCTAGACCTAACCTAACCCTAACCCCAACTCACAGGAAAGAACATTATTATTTGAGGACCAGCTGAAAGCCCCATATGTATACCTGTAAGTCCCCACGTGTAGGATTGTAGGTAAACACATCCACACTCATAGACAGGTTAGACAGGTACACACACACATACTGTACACACACCAGATGGAGGTTTCCCATAAGGATGGTTAGTCCCCATGATGTAGAGGTTTAAGAGAAAATTGTTCCCGCCTTGTAGGAAAAACAAGAACACACACAAAAAGGGCATCATTTAGACCAGGGGTAGGTTCTCGAGTGCCTGTCCTGCAGCTTTTGAATTCAACCCTTCTTCACCACACCTGAAACATGTGACTGGTTAATGACCCGGCCTCTGCTTAACTTACCCACTTGCCAAGAAGGTAATCAGGCCTTTTGGTTCAGGTGTGTTAGAGAAGGGATGCATGCAAAAGCTGCAGAACAGTGGCACTAAAGTTCTGACATTACCTACCCAGATTTAGACTATAAAGTGAGCCACAAAGCAAAGATTGCAGACCTCCGATCTAACAAATGTAAACTGTCTATCCTATCTTAATGGCGGATACAGGATGGCAGAAATTTGAAATTATTGGCTTTAACTTTGAAATAGTTATTCAAGTAAACTATTAAGTAGAAATATTAAATTGGTTGAAAGGGCCAATTGTACAGTGCATCTTTTGTCAGTGCAAATCATCATAAAAAGATGATTTAGCATAATCGTTTCAGTACATGAGCCAAACAGGCCAGGACCAGTTCTCTTGTCTAGAATCATCTATGTCTCCTTGTCTCATTTGAAAGTAACCCCACCTGATTCACAGAGAAATGGTCAGCACCACATCAGATGACTTGGTTAAGACAAGCTGACTCTGCAGGAGGGATCTCTGTAGTGAGGAAATATGGTGTGTGAAACCAGCCAGTCAGCAAGAGTTAAAAGCCTCAACAATACTCATTTCCAACCAGAGTGATAAGAAAATTAGATATTATTAGATATTATTTTAATTTGTAGCACTTTTTTTTATAATTGCAACACAAAGTTTGGTGGCTATTATTGTTTTTTTTTTAATTCACCAGGGGACAGAAACAATTTTTAATATAAGGGCACTTTTGTTCATCCATCAGTGACAGCCTTATGTCTGAACATTCAGAAGACATGTATTAATGGTTTTTTTTATCTACAGATGATGCAAAGCACTTTAAAATTTCTTTAAAAAATACAAAACATATGTATGTGGCAGCATTGAATGCAAACATCGTTTTTGAAAATCCAGTATCAAACTGATGTTTGAAGTTAAAAATATTAACTTGAAATGGAACAATATGTTCTCCCCATGCAAATAGGCTACCAGACTGCAAGCTTATTGTTGAAACATTTCCAGATGAACACAACAAATTAATATAACCAAACCCTTGTCAATTAGGCTTTATCAAGTGAAATGCTTAAGTTACATTTTTTATTTCAACTGCATGCAGGGGAAAAGTCCTTATGTCATTAACCTCTACGTAATTTCTCAAACATATCTGCTGCCACCTTGTGGTTCAAAGATTGAAGTACATCTTTATCAGGCCATTGCAAACAAATCTCCAACCCTTGAGAAATGTGAGGAGAAAAAAGGAAAATAAGATGGAGATTTAAAATGTCAAAGCTGAACTTGGAGATATTTATGTTGCACTAACATCATATGACAATACTTCTTGGCATCAAGTTCTCCTTTTTTTCTTGGATAAGAGACCCAGCCTGAAATTGCATAATGATCATGTGCAGAACAATAAACCCAGCCAGTATTGTCAGGGGGTTTAAATAAACAGGAAACTACATCTGTGAGGCACTGTATGCTGAAACCACACAAATGCAAATTGATGAATTAATCTAACACTTTTAGTTGTCGCTCTATCAGGTCAGTATAAACAAGAGCAGGAAACAAAAGACATGTGGTAATCTGAGCTGTGTTTTTTTCCATTGTCTACATGATTTACTGCCAAGTTTTGGGCTTTACAACAAAACAAAAAGAAATAACTCAAACTGAAACCTAAATACGTGACACAAATGTTTACAACATTGTCCAGATGAGTAACAAGTCTGAAAATTGATTCCTCTTTCATTGCTGTAGCAATATCTTACATGAAAAATAAATGTTTTGTCAATTTCTAACTCTTATATGAGTTTGAATTAACACATAGAGCCCTATTGGAGTCTATCTTCAGTTAAACCAACACATTTTATAAAAGGATTTAGGTCTTGGGCGTGAGTTGACCTTAAAATAAGACTGATCTGGTTTTCGGGTTTTTATGGTGTTTTATGGGGGTTTTTTATGCTGTATGGTTGCTATTTCATTCAAAGGTCCCTGTATTTCAAGCAGTTCTTTTTCACCTCCCCCTTTAAAATGTTTCAGTTGTCATTTGGAAGAAAAAGGTAGAGTTCATATAGACTTTAAACTATAGTCCACAGTCAGCAAACTGTTTCCCACACATTAATCCTTACGTGAACTATTTTTTACAAGAAAGACAGCCATCAACTTCTACAGCTAGTTGAATAAATCCATTTTACATGACTTAAAACATGTAATTTCCCTTTTGGATTAATAGAATATTTTATTATTGAACTAGGATGTCTGTAGATGTCTGGGAACAAGGGAGCCTTATGAGACAACTTATCCTTTATTTCCATCTACTACAGAAAAATTTCTGAAGCCAAACTATAAATTCAAATAGAGGCTTTTAAAATGTCGTCAGTGGATCCTTTACCTCCCTTAAAATAGCTCTCCTCTCAGTACACAAAGCTGACATAAATAACCGACGCCTCAGGGAGTTTAGCCAGGTGAAGGTCGGGGAAAGGCAGCGTTCCGTCACTGTCTATATGAGTTAGAACCGTGTAGGTTTTGATCTCTGCTCCCCAGTCCAGAACAGAACTGTGGATGATTCCCAGTCGGGCCTGTTCGTGATGTGCTGCTCCCAGCTCCCTGCCCAGGAAGATGTCTTGGATCTGAGGTGAAGAAGCTGTCAAAGAACTCTTCATTGACTCAGCTATAAGGTCCACTTTGGTGTCTTTGTTGGGTTTGTTAGAGTCAAATGTAAAGCTGTTATCTCTGTCTTGGTTAGCGTTTGTGCTCTTGGCACAGTTTGCATCAGTGCAGGGATGAAACGGCCTCTCCGGTGCATTCACCAGCGTCAGCCTCTCCAGGCGTTGCACCGCAAAATACCCCTCCTGAGTGAAAGAGGCTGCTCCCCTGGGCTCTCCTGGAGGTCCGCAGTGGATGAGCGTGAGATGTCTCACCTCGGAGTTGTTCAACAGTCGCATCACAGTGGATGGCGACGAGAACCAAACGGTTAAATGTTTTCTCTGGAAAAATGGAGTGGATTGAGTCAGGGGCCAGTGCGCCGTGGAGAGCTGGAAGTTCTTGCATCTGCAGTCGGACACTGAGGATGAGCTGCAGGGCTGAGCGTCCTGGCTCCAGGAGTGGTAGATGGAGTTGCCGTAGGCGATGTGAGCCAAAGGCAGGTCGGCCACCAGAGCGCAGAGCAGTAGGTGGAGGAGAGGAGTGGCAGTGCTGAAGAAGGGCATTACGGAAGGTGGGGAAGTCTCAGGGAGAGGGCTGACCCATGAGCCGTGATTGAATTTTTTCTACCTGCACCAACAGACAAGAAAATAAAAAAAGGATTAAAGGAAAGTAGTAAATAGAAAAAGGACCTTTGGCTCTAGTTGACTAATAATCAGGGAAACAGATAAGCAGCTGGAGCTTCACTTGGATTCAGATCCTTTCTTCTGCTGATCAACCATTTTTTTATTTCAAGCTAGACGAGGTAACTCAAACAAGTGTATTTCTTACAAAATATGTAAGTCTATTTGAAAATATAACTCATTAAACCATTTATAGATCAAATTACTTCACCATAATGCTGATAAAACAAAATTATTAATGCTAAATTGTCCCTAAAAGCCAAAAATCAAAACAACAGTATTTGTTTGACAAGTACTGGGTGCTGGTCATTTTGTCCTGTTGCCATTTTGCATGTATAGACTTTGACTTAGAGACTTAGACTAGACTTAGACAGATTTATCTTGTCATTCTGTATACATGAGTGTCAACAAAAAGAAATTTAATTCAGATCAGCTGCAGACAATTTCATATTTTAAAGTGCAGCCTTGAAAACAGTAATAAATACATAAAAAAATAAAACATATGACTGTATATTTACAGTTCTAACATTCATTTTTTTTATAGCACCATTGATTTGGATGTTTTTTGAAAAAGAAATGAATAATGTCTGCCAATGCAAGTTTTGTGGCCTCCATGTGTCAGTTTGTATTGACAGTAAGAGTTTACTTCTGTGCGTGTTTCTTTCTTAAATTAAGCAGCTAAGCTACATTACCTCTGTGTTTCACTATTTTGGTAAATGTGTCTAATCTCAACATTTTTTGAAGATGCTGCAAACTTCTGGGGTAAAAGGACGTTTGCACGGCTGACAGCTAAACTCCCACCACTACTTTACCACCATTTGTTTCAGAGCCAATTTACACTGCAGGTTCTTTGATCTGCATGTACTGGTGTATAATAACAGCTAGAGATGATCTGGAAGTCAGACCAAAATAATTGAAGGAGGGACTAAAACTGTTTAAACTGCATCTCAAAAGCAACCTGAGAAGCAGTGAGATGCAGTATTGAATTTTATTGAATCCAGATTGTTTCATCAAACGATGATGAGTACTCCAGAGAGCCTATATGTTTGATTAATTTAATGCTTTTAGCGTTTATATATGTGTAAATGTAATGCATTTAGAAAGCATATATATTTCTAATTAGATTTTGCAGATAAGCATATTTAATAATAAAAAAAATGGCTCAGAGGAAATCTGTCTTTCGTGAATTATTTTGAAAGTGTTGTGCTTATTCAGTTCCCTGTTGCTGCAATGATCTCTGTAGATTGACTCAGAGCTGGCTGGCTTCAGCCTCCACCAAAAACACTATCTGGTCAAATTTTGGCAGGTAGCTCTTTGCATGCGGATGCAAAACAGGTGAGAATGGGAGTTGCTGTGGAGTTTGCTGTGGTGTTTGTTGCTCAAAGTTTATGCTGTTTGCTGCCGTTTAGCCGGTAGCCGAGGTAGTTTAACTTTCAATGGTTTCTCACTCAATAATCATTAATTATTGAAGTTTTTCTCTGTCTTTGTTGTTGTCCTGTTCTCTTCCTTTCCCTTTACCTCCATCTGTACAAAACAGATGGTCATCCTCCCCAGCTTTTCCCAATAAAATGCAGCTGTGTTTGATAGCTGTTTGCGGCCCATAAACAGCCTACAGGAGATTATTCAGAGACCACTGTTTAAGGTTACTTCTGTGCAAAGTGCCTTAAGCTGCATCTAACTTTTTCAGATCTTGCAAGGGAAAAATCTTTCTAGGATTTCTCTAAAGCCTCTTCTTGGACTCTCGCTGCTGTTTTGCTCCATTTCAGTTCAGCCTGAACACCATAACTTACTTAATGGGACCAATAAGAGGCCTAAAGCCAAACTTAAAGCCTTAAAATGTATATTTTTAAAGAAAGAATAACAAGTCAGGGAAAGGAGCTGATTTGATTTTTGTTCTGGCTCATAGTTGCAATCTGACCTAAATACTTATTTAATCTTGCACCTTATTTCCTCTTTCTCCTGGGGTTTGGGAGGAGATGTTTTAGATGGTATTGAATAGCATTTGGTCACATGATTTATATCAATCTTTCACTTGACATTTAAATAGCATAAACAATGCTCCAGTGAGTGGATGAATGATAAATATTGATTTAAAATGTGGCTTGTCAGTGAGGCTTGTAGGAGGAGGCCAAACCCTGACCAACTCAGCACATGTGCCGTTTGTGGTGGAGGGTCGCAATATTCTTTTTTCAGTGGCATTCTTGGTGATTGTTGGTGCCTTCCATCCTGAGGTCTTGCATCAGAAATTTTGGATGTTCTCCTCATGACTATTTGGATTATCTCTGAATTCTTTGTCCTTTTTCTCTCTGTGTTGTCCTGTGATGGACTGGTGACCTTTCCAGGGTGCATCCTGGATTTTACACATGCCGAAAGGCCGAACCCAGCCTAATCTAGCAGGGGTATTGTATATTTAACTTTATAAGCATTGAATAATAAAAAGTGTGCAATTACTGTCTGTGGTTTAATGCATTTTTAATTATGTTATTCTATAATGTGCTCTTGGTACAAGACATTTTGTGGTTCCAAAGTAACACTGAGGTTAAGTGGGCCTGAGTCAGCAGTTTATAATTAGGATTGATGGACACATACAGGAATGTATGGAAAAGTACAACACAAAGATTACAATCTCTAGAAGTAATTTAACCTTTTTCTAAAGCAACCCACAGATATAAAATAAAAAAGAGCACTTGGTGTGAGGCTGAGGCTGTGTGACTGGACATGATCTAGAAAGAGATTATGGTTGTCAGTCTGGTTTGAGAGGGGGATCGTTTTATGCACTCTGCAGCGGCCGTTTCCTGGCCAGTCTTTTGGAAGCAATCTGTTTAGAAAAATATTATGGATTTATGGTGTTACTTTATACCCGCCAAAGCTTTCATCTTCCCTGGAGACTCTGAACCAATGCCTGTTGTAGGCAGGCTGATTATAAAACCATTAGCCTGGGTTTGGTTGCAGGTTGGTTGTACAGGGCTATTAAAAAAGGATACAAATCTAAGAGAAAAGCTGTCTCCATAACATAGAACAAATGATTAAAAAGATGGTTTACCAATTATGGGATTCAATGGATTTAATTTAAAGTTATTGAAGTAAATTGGCCATTGATAAAAAAAAAAAAGAGCACATTTTCATAGATTTGTTTTTGAGAAAAAATATCTCTCTTTTGGTTTCCATATAGAAAGCACATATAAATTCTATGGAATGGAAATGTCTGCAAAGCATTAACTAACTGTTGCGCATCAGTGTACATTTAAAATCTGCAAACAACTTTGACCAATTGAGTTCAGCGGAATTCTCTATAACTTTCTCTATAACCATTCTGGGCATTGAAATGGTTTCACTGCTGTTTATGAGATTATAGTTCTGTTTGGTCGGTTTGGTCCATCCATAAGCAACAGAGAGATGACCTGACCAAAAATGGGGTTCATTGATGAATCAGTGCCTTTAGTTTGCTGCTTTCATGTCTGTCTGCAAAACAAGCCCAGATCATTTTTTGTGCTTCCTTGCTCGGCTCTCTCCAACCACAGATCAGTAAACTACACCCACATTTCTGTGTATTTGGCCTTATGCTTCCAAACTACTTTGATTCGGAAGCCTTGCGGCTAACTCAGATGCTACTTTTCATACCTAACATTCCTAAAACTGTTTCAGAGAGAAACAGTGATTACATTTAATTGTCCAATCTAGAAAACAGCTTCTCCCAATCTCTAGGTCATTTTAAGTAGTCTGTAAACATGTCTGTCACTAAGTGAAGTTGTTTCTTAGTATTTCAAGCATTGCTGGAATTAGTGCCTACCCAGATATCTGACTCACTCCAATGCTGCTAGGTTAGGAGTCAGTGAAGTTTTGCACAAAACCTTTTTAGAATGGGCCTGATACACTCGCTCATACAGATGCAAAGCTTCTTTGTCCTTTGCACCCTTTATGCTACAGAGAGCTAAGACAGAAATCTGCTTTCAGAGAGCTGTTTGCTTCTGCTAATCATCAGTTAACCCAATGCATTTGACTATAAGCAATGTAACTCTATGTAAATCTGATCAAACTGCTGCAGAATCAGCTATTAAGTCCATAACTGGCTCAAAAAGTATCACTCTGCACAGATGTCTCTGGTAAGGGATCAGTTTTATCTTTTTATTGAAGTCCAAATCTTTCAACCCATTGCTTTGAAAGAGAATTGGTCAAACATTAAGTTAAAAAATGAATAAAGAAACTCTGTGTGCCCTGCTGTCTTGAAAATATCTGAGGTTAAACAATCCTTGCAAAGAAATGTAAAGTATCGGAACTCTCTGCTGCATTCCAGGGGTAACTTAATTTAATTTTAACCTTTGGCGCCGCAGCTGCTTTAACCTCCATGTAATCCCAAACAACTTCCCTTGAAACCCAAGACAGAAAATATGTGAGCTCCACATGTGTTTTTGCACAAAAGCACCTGTAGTTCATCTACCTTAGCTGAGAGATGTACTCTTGACCTTTCTAAGGGCGAAAAACAGGTCCAGGCAGGTATGTGTGTAACTGGAATTAACTGTGTAAACAAAGGGTTCAGCCTATGCTTATAACCATCCTACAGTTCAAGAGATTTATCATAGTTTGCATTTTTATTCCTTAGCATTGAAGCACTTTGCTCTGAGGTAATTCCTCTGTGATTCCATCTATCAATTATTTTCCGGCTGAATAAAGGGGATGTTGCATGAACAGCTGCTTTGGATAAAGAATTGTTTCAATTGGAAACACACACAAAAGGCCTGATGGGTGTGTCCGTCCTGGAATACAGCAACAGGGAAACATTATTTGGCCATTGTGAGCCCTCATTGAATTTCACCTTCAAAAACACACATGGTCAGAAAATTATACTTCTGTGGATCGCCCTGAGATTCCAGGGAAAACACGGTTTGGAAATCGTGGCTGTTTTAAAGGTCTGGGTTGGCTTTCTGGGTTTGGCAGCGATATCAGAGCAGGAACATGACTCCAGGTCATATTTTGAAGACCGGACAGAGCTGACCGCTGCATTCTTCCACTGCCCCGGAGTTACAATAAACAAAGGAAAGTTAGCATTTACAGTGTTTTCAAACACTGTACTCTGAATTCAAGTCTGTCACACAGACTCTGTTCATTTCCCGTGGTTAGGGAAACAATGTTAAATGAAATATCTTGACTCAAAAGGCCAGGGTCAGCCAGTCAGCCAAACATTTGGTTGCAGAGAAAGTGTTTTCACCACAGGAGGTTAAGCAAAGTATCAAATAATGTTCCTCTACATTATAGCATCAATATTCCAAGAATCAGTCATGCATTCCTTAGAGAACAGGAAGTTCAAATTCATTATGAATTTATGGCAGATATGGCCACAGTTGGTCACCCTGGAACAAAGATACTGTCTGGATGGATGGATGGAGGA